TGGGGTCAAACTGCTGGACTGCTATGCTGCACTGACCTGCATGCACAGACCTGCTAGCAGCTCCACGCTGTGCGTGCCTGTGGTTGCTAACTCTGCACACGTGCGCATGCGCTGCTTGGGTGTTACTGTTTGTTGGCACAGCTTTAATCCCATGGTCGCCTCCTTCTAGAACAACCCAGCAGACTTTGAACGCAAGCACTTCAAGCAACGACTGCTCTGCTGATGCCTGCAGCAGCACAAGCATCACACCACCCAGTAAACACAGCAGACCCAGTCGTTTCGCAGCCTTGCATCTGGAGTTTGTATCAGCGCATATGTCTCGAGCGCGCAGGCTGTTGCAGCATGTTGGGCGCACCAAGTGCCACCCTTAAAGCTTGGCGGCTGTCCGCCCTCAGTGTCCACGGCCCTTTACGCACGCAGCGCAGACCGACACAAACACACCGCCATAACTATACGTAAAATGTCTGGAGGGTAGGCCCCCAAACCCTGGCCATGACACGGCATGCCAAATAAAAGTCAGTCACATGACCACGGAGGGATCCCATAAGCGGGTTGTTGCATAGGGTTCGGGTACGCGCCGGGTGTCACACCGCGGCACAGGGCGGGTACGCCGCGGGTAGACGACCCTGGGCGCGGTGGGGGGTGGCCCCTTGCGGGCAGGCGCCCCGGCCGGGCACCCCACGGCCGGCGGGTCTCGCACTGTGCGGTCACCGATGAGCACCACAAGGCAGCCTCGGCAAGCCGCGGCCGCAACGCCTTGTGCATGCTGTGAAAGCTGGGCCCTGTCATCATGTGACATCAGCATGTGACAGTCATGGCCCCCAGCGCCCAGCGGTTTACCCTGACCTGCTGTGGAGCCACAAAGGTGGTAGTATGGCATCTTCAGCCGCGCCGGCTGCCAGCAGATTGCAACAGCCGCAACGCAGTCGCACCTCTGGCGTTTTGGCTGCATTTCCTTGAATGCCACTCTTGCTGAAAAGCTATCGTAACTCGACCGCAAAACATCACCCCCATGCCGTGCAGAGCTCAGCAATGTACCCTGGCTGCTATGTGGCCAAAACATATGTCCCCTCTCTGCCGCAGCAACTGAGGCTGGAGCTGAGCGCGACCCAGCATCCTTTAAAGGGGCGGTGTGCTTCCCAGAACGCCATCATGTTTGGAAGTGATGACTGCAACGGGCATGTAAGATGAGCAAAAGGAGGACAGCTGCAGCGCCACTCTCAAATTACACATTCATGCCTCAGCTAGCTGAGCGCCCGCGTGCAGCGCTGGCAACTGCTTCGTCGCGACCACAGCAAGAACCCACTACTGCCGCACATCGCTTGTTAATTGCCTGCACTTTGGAGAAGTGCGTGTGCATGAGCAGGAGCATCACAAACCCCAGCATAAAAAGCAGGGCACCGCACTGGCGATCGCGCTGGCCTGCCAGCAGGCACCTACTAGGCGGTGACATGAAGACAAAAAGGCAATGCGCCCAAGGCATTGCCATCGCAAACGTCACGCAAAGGCGCACTGCGAGGCGATGTGCCACGCCCGCCTTTCACTCATCGTCGCCCCCCGTCTCGCTCCTGGTGCTGTCCTCCCCACGCGCCGCCTTGGCCTTGGCGGCGGCGGTCCTCTCCAGGTACCGGACGTACGCCGCCGTTGTCGTGGCCCGCGCTCGCCGCTCAGCATCGGCTGCCTCCGCAGCCGCCTCGGTGTAGAAGCGGGAGCCCTGGAGCTCCAGCTCAGCGATGCGCCGCACGACAAGGTTGAGCTTGCGCCACAGCCGCTGCCAAATGCTTCTGGCCCTTGCGCGACGAGATGTCGTCGAAGCTCTGAAGCTGCAGCGCTCACCTGCTGCCGAAGCGCGGTGCAATTGACCCACCCCATCAACTGTGGGACGCTGACAAAGGTGCTGACCACGGGGAGTCGGATGGGCCTCACCGCAACGCCCGCAGCCGCGCCGGTGGATGCTACGAGGCCGGTTGCCCCGGCTTTGGGTTCGTCGACGCCGCTAGTGCTGGCGCCGCTTATTACGCCGCCGTTGCCACCGCCGACTCCAAAAGCTGCCAGAGAGCATCGCAGCTGCTGGCGCTGGTGCTGCTGCTGCCGCAGCAGCCACAGCAGAGGAGGGACCTGATGCCAAGCTGCCGCCGCTGTCGCCACCCTGCTGCATATGGCACTCAGCACACTTGCAACCGGCGCGCCGAGGCTTCCAGCTTTGAAGCCGCCGACGCCGGGGCCCAGGTGCGCCATGCTATTCTTCTGTCGCGGGGATGCGCAGCTGCTGCCCCTCCCTTGCCAGGGGCGCAGCAGCGCTGCTGTTGTTCGAGGCAAGCTGCTGCTGCGGCTGCCGCTGCTGCTGCCGCTGCTGCTGCCACTGCTGCTGCTGCTGCTGCTGCTGCCACTGCTGCTGCTGCCACTGCTGCTTCTGCTGCTGGTGCGGCTGCTGCTGTTCTGCACGAGGTAGAGCAAGTCGGGTCGGCACCGCGCATGTCCCTGCATCGTTTGCGGATGG